AGCTAGTTGATATACTTATTTATGAGCTTCTAAATCTTTTATGGTACATGTACATGCAGTTGGTTTCATTACCTTCGATGATTTCTCTCGCCACTGGATTGATGACCGCATCTTTTATGACATCCAGTTTTTCTTCAATTTTTTCTAACTTCTCCTTGATGCTGATGTCATCCGTCACCCACTTTTTAAGAAGCTCTCTGTAGTGTTCTTCGAAATCAGGGTCAATGCATTCCTTTTTCAGATCATCAATAGCACTTTGGTAACCAGCCCCTCCTAGTCTCACCAATGCATCTTGGATGTCCTGCCAGTATTGATTGAATGTTGCATCATCAACTGAGGCCTGGCTGGCATGACCATAAACTTTGTTTCTGTAGCACTTGATGCGCGCAATGTCTGCCTCGAGGGTTGTGTCTGTTGTAGGAGGAAGTGTATCCCAGCCGGTAGCTGGACAAACAAGACCACAAATGTTCCTCAGCAAGACCGTTAGCAGGGTGATATCAAAATGCTGAGTTGAAACTGAAGACTTGATGGCAGGGTATAGTCTGCCCCATTGCAGGGGGTTGAGTATTCTTCTCTTTAGGAGTGATTGTAGCACTCGATGAATTGGAGGACTTGACAAAACTGTGTCCAGGTTTCCTGTTGGACGCCTCTTGTCAAATGTCTCTCTGAGTACTTGTGAACAAACATCCACCAGAAGGCGACATAACCGTGCATAATTAGCTGTTTCTTTTGTAGAATGGAACGTTGGTGCAGCATTAGCCATGGATAATAGCTGCTAGAAACAATTAATAGCACCGCAAGAGTGAAATGAGATAAAGATTAATTCTAAAAAATTATTCAAAGATCCAACTGAGTTGCTTATCAAACTAGGGCAATAATGTTATTGTTCATTAATAATTTTTCAGCAGAACATATCGTTTATTACTCTTAAAGATGCCCTTAAGAAGTAAATATTTATCTCCAACCACTAGGCAAATTACCGAAGTGTCGTTAGCCATTAACGATCGATTTTTAGATCCTCTATTATTTGAAAATAAAGAAAATCTTAAAAGTAATAGCTTACAGGAAAAGACAAACACCAAAGAGACGAGTTTTGTGAAATTAACAAACCGTGACCTGTTATGTATAATCAAAATAACCTATTAATGAATGTAAGGGCCTCACTCAGGCATATCAGGTATGATATTTTTCAAGCTTTTTTGAGTCGCCGAAGTATGTTGCCCTATTTTAAAAATAGCTCGATGTACGGAGTGTTCACAAGGGCTGAGAATACTTTAATGAAGCATGTCTGAGAAGAAAATTGTAATTCCTACACTTGTTTTGGTAAGATAAAAGTTTTCAGCAAAATCCAAGATGGCATTCATTCTGACATGTTTCGACTTGACTAGGTCTACTTTCTTTTAGAGAATCGAAACACAAACAATTACACATTCGTATAAGATAGCTTGTAATGAGTGTCGATTCTCTCTTGTCATAAGCACTGGAAAAACTGAGTTTATAAAGGAAACACTCAACTGGCATTGATCAACGAGCACGCATAGGTGCGATGTAGTTTGACTTAAAAAAAAACCAGGGGCTTTTAATTGGTTTACTGAGACATCATTATACCAGTATTACTCAGCTCTATTGTCGCTGACAACGTTACAGGCAAATGTTTTTAGCGTAAACTCGCTGAAGTTGAACAAAAATACGATAAAAAATACATGATAAACTACGTGAGAACACCAGCACTTCGTTGGATATTATATGTACACAAATTCAGTAATACACACAAGAAATCATCACTCTAGCTAAAAGAAAAAAAATGTTATTTTGGGGGTAGAAAGTGTCGCCTAACTCCACTTTAGCTGCAGGCAAAATTGTTAGAAAATCGGACCCCGAGCGAAAGCGTTCCTCGTACCGGTTTCCCCTTTGGCATTTTTTGATGCGTTAGCCACTCGTTTCCCCAAACTTGCCATTTTCTTTATCTGATCTCTAAAATCCATGCCTGATTTTGGACTTGGCTTCTATGTTGTGGTATGATTAAGCCCTGCTTCAATGCCGAGGTCAAGAATTGGGATGACATTTGTTCAAAAATCAAGCTTGATTGCCACATTATTTTGAATGTTAATTGTTTCTTTTAGTTTGTCATTTAAGACGGACGACAGAAGCACATCAATACGCAGCTAGTGGTTCTCTTGAAAACCATATAAAATCTATGACTATGGTTACTTAAATCGACCCTAGTTTGAAGACCAAAAGGGCTCAAAATCATACCCTCTTGGGCACTGCATATCGATATGACATACCAGTGGAGTAACAACCACCCCCTCCCTGGTGGAACTTGTTATTTACTATTACATGTTGTGTGGAACACTTGACTTCTATATTTTCACAGGAAAAGGGGGGAGTGGAGTGGAGAGGACTGAGATTGAAATTGCAAGAAAGTATCTTGCTTCCACAAGGTCTGTTTTAATTCAAAATTCACAGAGGAAATTAAGTGAATCAACATCTCTTGCTTTCGAGGGATTTTTTCCCGGTTTCTGCTTTCGATATCCTACTTGGCTAGCTTCGTTCAACTGTAGCACCTAAGACAGTTTAAAAAAATTGAGGTTAAAAGCAAGATTAGCGGCAGATAAATAAGTAAATAACTGATAGAGCAGTAAAAGAATGAATAGGTAAATAAATGGATATATTAATTAAGACAAAACAGTATAGGTGTAAACAGATGAGTAAAGAAATTAGAAAGATAAAGTTCTAAGCGAGTGAATATCTTCGTGGACACACGTTTCGTCGGTCTGTAAGGAATGAAGCTCAGGGAATTCTTTTCTAAAGCGACACCTTTTGCTAGCGGCCAGAGTTAATCTGAGCTGTTCTGTTCGTTACTAAGTGAACTTAAAATCTTTCCAGGATAAACTATATTACCCCAATTCGAACCGAAAATCAGGTATAAGTAGTTGTGATCTCTCACTCAGTGGGAAATCATCTGGATGTAAGATAAATCCCGGACTCGTGAGTCAGTTGGGTTAACCTTATTTTTATACAGTTTTTCATATCGTGAATTTCGATCGCAAATTTACATTTTAGCGCCATTTAACATTTGCGGTCCCCATCTGATGTAGCAATTAATTATAGCCGCAGGAAAGTACAGCAGTCACATATATTATATTCTGATAATTCTCATCCGAATAGCGTCTCAAATTATATGATGAATATTTCCTAATCACTCGTGACATTAAAAACTAGTTATTTTAAGCCTGACTTGCTGCGAAACAATAAGGTGAACAGATAATTTTGCAATTAATTTGAAAAAAAGATATGGCCAAGGTATAATCATAACAAAAAAATGAAATTTGAATTTCGCGAATTATTTCACAATGTTAGAAATTTTCAAAATGTCGTGCCTCTTAGAATGCATTTGCCAAAAGGATCGTGAGCATGAAACAAGACTCAGTGTAAATATTTTAGTTTTATTGCGTCAAATCAACACTGATCATGTGTTTAATTTGATTGAAAGTCAGTGTTACGACCATCAGTACACGTTTTTATCGAGTTTTTTTGCTTGGGAACCATTGATATGAAATGTTCTTAATGCTTTTATCAATAGTCTTGTTAAGGTAATTTATATTTACATTGTTTTGTACGTGATCAGGAATCTTTGGATTTTGCCCAAAAGTGGGAAAAGCTTAGTATTTGTTTCTTGTTTCAGAGATTTTTCCGGTCAAATGAAATTAAAAATGATCTCGAGGAAAATGTAAACGGGTCAAGATTTTTAAAGGAAAGAAGGAAATTATAACCCGAAAGAGGGAAGAGAAAAACCAAGAAATATGAGCAAAATTATTGAATTTTCCGGGTTTTTTTTATTGACTAAATTTTGTAACAAGAAAATGACAGAGGAATTCATTATAGCTAGGAAAACGTGCGGCGAGAAAGGAAGTTCTGCTGAAAATGAAGGTTTATCATAAAGGTTGATATTATGATGTCGGTAGCGTGCATTTACGGCATTTTCATTTTATCATAGAGGAAACGTGCGGCGAGAAAGGAAGTTCTGCTGAAAATGAAGGTTTATCATAAAGGTTGATATTATGATGTCGGTAGCGTGCATTTACGGCATTTTCATTTTATCATAGAGGAAAACGTGCGGCGAGAAAGGAAGTTCTGCTGAAAATGAAGGTTTATCATAAAGGTTGATATTATGATGTCGGTAGCGTGCATTTACGGCATTTTCATTTTATCATAGAGGAAAACGTGCGGCGAGAAAGGAAGTTCTGCTGAAAATGAAGGTTTATCATAAAGGTTGATATTATGATGTCGGTAGCGTGCATTTACGGCATTTTCAAATCTTGTTGAGAAGGACATTCTGTACTTGTGAAAATTAAATTAGTGTTTTATTGATTAGTTTGGAGCAGAATAAAGGCTAAGCAGTTGAATTCAAGGGAAAAAAAAGCGAGAAGGGATAGTAAAACAAAAGTAGAAATAAACAAACAAAAGGACGTCGTTGTTATACGAGCAATTTCCTGTGAGTATTATTTACCGGCTGTCATGAAGTAATACTTCCGATCAGGTCATGATGCAATATTTACGATTTATCACTGATCCCTTTTATGTTTCCAGCAATTCCAAAGCGTTCAACGAAAAAACGTTCAAGTTAGGCTGATCATTTTGAAAAAATAAATTTTGGTGTGTCAATCACTCTAATGCATATATAATACGTTATTAGTCATATGAATAATTATTTTTTTAAAAGACATGATTTTTTAGGGGGTTTAATTGAAATGATAGTTCAATAGCAACGGCTAAAAAATTATTTAAATCATTTATAAAAAAAAAAACACGTTTCTTTTATCTTCAGTCACGTCTTAAAACGCATCACGGAGTTCTAGATGTCCTAAATTTAAATCTCAAATTAAAGAATGACCCGACCTTTTGTGTAAACAAAACTTTTTATTCTCATCACGCAGTACCCAAACGATTCAATTTGCTTTCGGTACTATTTATGTTAATCTGACTTGACATTCTCTCGAATACAAATGATGTTTTATCAAATGTTTGCCTCACATCGGAAGGTCATGATGTATGACAAGATGAAAGTGTGGGTACAACACAGCTGTATAGCTTCACATCACATAAAGCGGATCAAATATAATTGATTTGATCACATTGGTCAGAGGTAGTGGTTTGTAACTCGCCAGGTACGTGAGAGGTAAAAAACCTTAACTGATGGCGAACAATTCCTTGGGCAACACAGATGGGCCACTCTTTACTAATTCCTCAGCTGTAGCAAGAAAAACCTGCTACTACCTGGATCGGTTTCAGATTTTCCATAGCGGTCCGCCAACAACGGAATACATCGTTAACTGTACGCTTAACGCAGTATTAGCAGTTCTGGCCATTCTTGGAAATGGACTCGTCCTTCAAGCGCTCCGAAGATCTGCCGCGCTAAGACCAGCTTCCAGAGCTTTGGTTTACAGCCTTGCCGCCTCCGATCTCCTTGTTGGATTGACAGTTCAACCTTTCTATGTGTTGTACAAAACGGCTGAAATATTGAACATGCATCAGTTGTACTGCGTCACAGGAATTGGATTCCATTTGTCAGCGAACGTTTTCTCTGCCGTTTCGTTTCTGACGGTGACAGCCATAGCCACCGATCGCCTTCTGGCTCTTCACCTTGGGTCCAGATATCAAAGAACCGTAACGCTTCCAAGGGTGGTAATGGTCATTGTCACTATGTGGGTGCTAACTGGTTTGTGGATTTTCAACTGGTTATGGGATATCAAAATATATCGAAAGTTTAATATAATCGTTGTTACGATATGTTTGGTTTTCTGTACAAGTGCGTATGCCCGACTCGGATACAGGCTTCGCCAGTTGAGAGTTCGCACCATGTTACGATGGCGGGACGCCGAATCAACAACGAACCAAGAAGAAAGAAGCAGCTCGAGTGGTTCAAAATCGAAACTACGATTTGGAGCATACAAAAGATCTGTGGCTAACATGTTTTATGTTTATATTTTAATGCTTATTTGCTATGTTCCATACCTGGCCATGTTCGTAGTCATACAAACGACGACCGTAACCAAAGCGAAAATTGTCACTCTAAGTTATACCATGACTTTGTTGTTCGCCAATTCGGCTTTCAACCCGTTTCTTTACTGCTGGCGGATACAAGAGATTAGATCGGAGGTAATTTTAATTCTCGCAAAATTTTCTTGCAAGAACAATTGAAAATAAAAGTGCAAATTTCTGTTTGATTACGAAACGTAATGTAACGCATATCGACCATGACTAATAACCTTTATATGGTTTTTAAGCACTACATGCTTTGAAATTAGATTCAAATTGTTACTCGGCGAGAACGGAAGCGGATAAATTTTTTTTTTTCTATTTGTTAAGCTGACAATGCCAAACATAGCTGAGAAATTTGACTTGAAAAGAGAGTGACATTGAATAGAGGCTTTCTTTTCGTGAATCAATATTTGCATATCGAGGAAATTTTTGACGTATTCACCGATGTTTTAAGTATTTAATGTGTTCAAATGTGCCCTAAGAATACGGCCGCGCCGTATGATTGGGCTAAGGCTTCTTAAAGAACGGCGAATTACTGTGGTATGCTTCATAGCTTAATCAGGTTAGAATAACTGATTAATTTTTGAAAGATAAAAGGAGCTGTGATACTGCTATACTATCGATCACAAAAATACTATGGTCTGAAGAGAGATTGTCTAACCTTATGCAAATTTGTTCGCCGAATGACACGAAATTAAACGCGAATGAAACAAAGGGCCTCTTATAACGTTGAAATTACTGAGTGATTTTTTCGCCAATATGAGAAAGGAGAAAACTTATAAAGGAAAGCCGTTTCAACAAACGGAAATTTTGTTTAGGTAGCCAAGCATGTAACTAAACGTAGAGAATATAATGAGGCTTCTGGTATACGTTAAATTTGCAGGTATAATAGATGATATATTTACATAAAACTGAATATCATAATGGAAAACTGGCCATTGCAAGTTCTGTTCTTAATGACTCGGCTTCAAGGCCTGACATTTCTCGTTATTTTGAGTAACAAATAACTTTGCAAGTTACAAGTGGCATCCTCTTTAATGTTGTTTCAAAGGTTCTATGGGCATCAAGGAGTTTAAATTTGAGTTATAATCCACGTGGAATTGTACCATCATTACATTTGCAATAATTTCAACTTAATGATACAAAACACACGGCTGATGAGATGCCGCGATGCTACTGTGCACGATTTTCTTCAGATGGAAGTGCTATAGTGTAATTGTCGTTAACGAACACTTAAATAAGTTTGTAGGAGATAATATTACCTTGTATAAAAGATATCGAAGTTTACAGTTGAACCTGAACGGGATAGATTAGATGCTAAGTTTTTCAACTTTGCGTAATAGGAAAATATTGTACAGAAGTTTAATAAAGAGGTAAAATGGTTATATAGGTGGTCATGCATTTATTATTTCCTATATTTGAAGATAGCGATTCCCGAAGTAATCTGAATATTTCCCTGAATCTTTGTCAGCACCGATAACAAAAAAATCTATAAATTTACTCGGCAACACATGTTTAAAGGATGCCCATCATTTTAAAAACAGTGAAGAGAGACACCCGACCAAAGAATTCTTTAAAGGCAGTTACATCTATTGCATAAGAAGAATTTTTTTTGCCTCGTTAGAAAAAAAAAAGAAACAAGCAAACACATAAAAAAATAAACAAAACAAACGAAGAAATAAAAACAAACATAGAAACGAAAAAATTTAAGTAAAAAATTGAACAGAAATAAATACAATATCCCTGCTGAGGAAATATAGTCCGTGGTGTGTTGAAGATAAAACGCATAGAGCGAACAAGAGATTAAGCCATCTTCGATTCGCTGCCGCTGGGGAGCATACGGCGTCGACTATGGATATCTGCTGGACCTTGTTTTTGACTGTTCTTTTTGCCTCTCTCGAGGCGACTTTATTCTTGTCGAGCTTTCTTAGACAGTGTGCCTTCGAGACTGCCTTGATGTGCACGGTAACTGATGCGTTTTTGCGGCATATTACTAAAAGTGACTGAGTTCTCTGTCTGTAAAGATTAACTCTTTCATTTCTGGGGAAATTATAGAGACCTATTTCTTTTCCTGAGAAGCCTCTTATATTTAGACGGGTATTTGGCGTTATTACATTTTATTACGATGATCAGTTATTGAGTTCAGTTAATTTCCTCAACTCAAGAACCTTTACATTGCCTTCGTTTACTTAAAAAAGCCTGGAGATAATTCAAGGAAAAAAGTTTCATTTCTCGTATGAGTGAAAAGTCACTTTTCTTTCTTTGTTATTGTATCGCATATTTTCTATGGGATCTTTCTCAAGGAATGGGAGGTGAAAAGTACTCTAAAGGACGAAACGAGAAATATCGCTTAGCATTGTAAAGCAAAGGCTATAATTGCAAATGTCAATCTTTGCGGATATCTGAAGAGTTTTCTTAACTGGTGCATCCTGCTTGGTTTAATGAAAAAAGTGTATGAGGTAGCGATAGTTCCATGTGTGATTGAGAAATCACCAACTTAGTATCACGGCTTAGTATCGCGGTTAGCTCTCGATCTGTCCTCCTTCTCTTCGATAGTTTTGAAAAGGAACATTTTGGAGGTTAGTGAACATGTTTATCAAAAATAATTTCTTTGAATGAGAAAGACTGAGAAAGACAACTGTTTTCATACTTTTAGGAATTTTACAAAACTGAACTACACACTGAACTACATGGAGTACGTTACTTTTCCCATTTTCAAACTGTGAATTGGGCAACCTAGCCAGCTGCACCACATAGGGTGGCCTTCATCATATTCCTTTTAATATAATTCAATAAGTTCAATAGATTTCTTATCCCAAAGCGAAAAAAAGAACGGAAACAGAAAACGTTGTACTGATACTGATAACTGTCTTAACAAACGTTTGCACGTTCCTACCATCATGTAAGAAGATCTAAGTTCTCATTCGGTTGTTCGTATGGAAATTTTCAGACTGAGAAACACTTGCATCATGTGGTATTACACAGAGTCAAAAGCCACTATGATCGGCCTGGCTACAATGTTCTCTATACTCACTGCCATGGACATCATTGGAAACGTGATTGTTTGTGTGCTGATCGTTAAATTTAAAGATATGAGGTGAGTCAGACGCCACTTGCAATGGTGAAGGATTTCATGTGGGACACTTGAAGGCTGAAATGAAGGTGACTTGAAATTTCATGCATAACCAGATGTGACAGGCGGAAGAAAAGGAAAAAAATTAATCCTTTAAGCCTTTTTTACCTAATCATTGTTTTCTTTTTCATTTGTTTCGATTTTATGGTTTTTTTTATCATTATAAACCAATAACCGAGGCATGGGGGAGGGGAGGGGGGTACTTAGTCACCCACTAATCGACTGTACAGGATCTTTGCAAATATAAACCTGAGGTTAAAAAAGGGTTTATGTCACATCTTTACGCTAAGAAATCAAAATAGAATTTAGACAATAAAAAGTTTATCAACTTTGATTCAATTTTTGTCAGAATTCCAATGAATTATCTAATCCTGAACCTGGCTGTAGCAGACATTTTGGTCGCCCTTTTCATAGTTCCTCGGTTTGTGCTCTTTAATGCTTACATACTCCCTGATGGAATGACTGGTACAGTTATCTGTAAGCTGCTGACCGGTGGTAATTTGTCTTGGATTGGAGCAGTTGCTTCTGCATTTACACTGGCTGTTGTAGCTTTAGAGAGATACTACGCAATCATGAACCCACAAGGCACACAATTGACAGCTGCGAAGGTAGAGGTAAGGAAAAAGCTAAATCAAAAAGCAAAGAGGCCGAAAAGGAAAATAAAACATACAATAATTGAGTAAAAGCAGAGACAATTCATACACTCAACGCGAAAAGATATCAGTATCACTGGGGTATCCAAATTACATTAACCTTTGCAGATCCGTATTTTCAATCGTTTCCAAACGCGTATGTGTAATTTGGTGATATAGCAGATATGAATAAGGTAGCAGAATTATTAATCACACAAATCGGCGAAACTGCAGCTTCCAATTTTTGTTTGTCAATCAGAGATTTTGAGAGCCAGCCGCCATCTCCCCTTGGGCAAATTTTTATATTCGTGTTAGTTTAATTTCTCACTCCATCCCTCATTACATTCTTGCAGATCATTGTTCCAGTAATTTGGCTATTAGCAATCCTCTTCAATTTGCCTCTGCTGTTGACCGACCGGTACAGCACAAAGCACAAGACTTGTATAGAGAACTGGCCAGAGGAATGGATGGCAAAGTCCAGCAGCTTGATATGGCTTGTGGTGACCGGCTATCTTCCCATATTCCTGATGATCGGACTGTACGCAAGAGTCGTGTATCAGCTCTGGTTTCTTGATGAGGATGATGGCGACAGCACTCGACAGGCAAGCACGGGGTTCTTTGAATGTTTTTGTTTCCGTAGACTAACTCAGAATTAAGCGAGAGACTATACAATGTTTTTTTTGTTCACTGATTAACTAACTAGCCCCATTGAAAAAGCAAAATTTTTGGAGGCAATCACAGCATTACCAAACTTTTTCTGTGTTGTTATTGCTGGAACGAAACTAGGCCACTTCCTCAAGAATCAGCGTCATTCCAGTATGTTATGTCCTTCTTCTAAAGAAAAAAGACAGCAGTTCTATCTTTTATAAATACTCCGTTCATTACAGACACGGTTTAATTTAAAAATCTAACTCCCTCTTTCTTTCAAAGCTCGACGGTATTTGGACAAACATAACCTAGGAATTGGCAAGCTTGCATAGGGATATAGATCAAGAACAGCAAATGCTTTGAGAGAGGCTTTCAATGTTAGCAATTTCTTTCACAACCATTTCGCCAATTTCATAATTTTAGGGAGTGCTGAGGATTCGAAGAAGAATCACCAAAATGGTTTTCACAGTTAGCATGGTCTTTGCCGCTTGCCGGATTCCCGCCCAAACGATGTACGTCATCAGCTACTTCAGTCGCACCCAGTACCACAGCGATTTACTGCATATCATATCCGTTGCTGAGGTGACTGCCAATTCCGCCATTAACCCATTCATATATGCCATCGTTAATCATCGCTTTAGACAGCACATCAAGGAACTGATATGCTGCCCTGGTTTGTGCAAAACAAAGGTGGATGCCTTTATCCCAGGTCAGGATAGCACCCAAGACGCCACTTACACTACGGAGGTAGTGCAGTTGCGACAAACATCGCAAGAAGAAGCTCCAAGATATGATTAATCTAGATAATGAGCTTGTTATCATTGTCACCATAATTGCCATCTTGTAATGAGTTTCGCGAGAATGTCGTAATGTCGAAGTTTTAAAAAGTTTGTATTTTTAGGAAATTATCAGAGAGATCAATCATGACATGCACAGGAACTGGCCAAATTTAACAGAACTTGTCATTATTTGTTCACAACTTGTGATTCTTTGTTTAAGTGTTTTATCTAAATTTGGAACATTTATACTTTCTTCTCGTTTGACTTACGAATCGTAGAAAAAGTTCATGATTGTTGACCTCATCTGATAGCTTACGTAAGAGTTGCATTTTAGTATTTTCACATTGTTAGGTCCATGGCGCATTACCATCCCATAGAAATCCCTTTTTATTGTTTCTTTTTCTCGTCGTGGATTCCGGGTGGTATTCAGTTTATGTTAATCAAAAATTTAGGAACATGTTGTTGCAGAGTACATGTTCCTGCACGACATAGTATGGTATCGTCATAAAGGTACAAAACTGTGTCGGGCGTCCAACTGTTATCTTCTTGTATTTATTTTTACGGAAGATCATGGTTAAGGTTCACTTTGTTGCTTCTAATTTTCTCTTGCGTTTTATTTTATGTTCCTTTTAAGTTACTTAAAAATATGTCTTTGTTTACTGTTAAAAGTGGGACAGGCTCGATCAATTTTCCTTCAATTAATTAAGTAAGAAACCTTTATTTCCATAGGGTAGCTCCTTCAGTTTTTGCACAAGATAAAAACTGCTATCCATAGAGGCCCAACATATATGATAAACTAAGTTGATTAGAAATAATAGTGATACTCAAGTACATTCAAAAATAGCTATAAAATGTTATCCAAAGGACCTAAAAATCAAATTACAATTAAAATCTTAAAAATCTTAAAATCTGATTAAAAATTACACAGCCATGATAAAAGGGCCTTTTTAGTACATTCTAACTTTATAGACAGAAGTCTAGGTTTACCGCTGCTTCTTGTTGCTCTAGGTAATACATCTTTGTTATAATTGAAGTAGTGCATAAAGAACTGTTGACAACGGCTGCTTAAGCATTTCATGACTAAATTGCGTACATGGCTCTCACGCTTTTTCTCCAGAGTTACGTAACCTAAAAAATTTAGCGCTTTTTCGCTTCTCCCCAGACACATAGTGTCTCCTTACAGTTATTCCAATAAGTTAAGCTTTATGTAGTGCTGATTGATTACGCAACCTACAATTGCTTAATTTCTAGAAGTCGGTCCCACCTAATGGGAAATCTGAAGGAATGCTGCTATCGTCTTGTGTTCTTTCGTTAGTTCGTTGCAGCTGAGATGTTCCTCACCTGGATGAACCTTGTTCCTTTGGAAGACATTACGGTGTAACATGGCCTTGATCTTCTGGTTGAATCTTTTGTTGGTCAGAGCATACACAAAGGGGTTGAGAGCAGAATTGGAAAGGATCATTATAGCGCCAATAGCAAAACTTACATCACTGTAAGGTGAAGTGACGTGATGCAGGAAAAAGATGGTCGAGTCTGTGATCCAACAGATTCCAAAACTGGCACTGACAATTGTCACCGTTAAAGTGACCCGCCTTCGTACTTTCATGACACCCTTTATAAAGAAAAGTTTAAAAAGATAACTCAATACTTCTTAGAGTTGCGAGCAGCTATGCTGTCATTTGCTGTGTGAAAACAACCAAACAAACAAAGAAACCACGCTACATGGGCATCGTCACCTTTAAGGAAGCTTTTATTGCCTAGTGAGGGTCCCCAATAGGGTTCATCAATCCCGCGATCCCAACTAAAATTTTCTCTCGATCCCGTAATCCCGAAGGTTTATATCGGCCAATCCCGATCCCGATTGTCTTAGCCTATTTCCTACCCGGTGGGTGATGATTTTGTTAACCAGCATTGATCCGCTGAAGTCTATGGTCACCGTAAGGCGTGAGTTGATCTCTTTTCACCAAAATGATGATATCCTTCGTTTTAGAAGTTTTCAAAGTCTTGCACGAATGACGCACGCTGGTCACGGTAACGACCTCCTTTCATTAAATTTCGATCACGGACAAACGTATAGGTACAGGTAGATCAATATCAAAGAAACGAATAACAATTTCAACAAGTGCATTAAACACAAAAGGTCACGCAATCCCATAGTTCCATAACAACGAAGATAAAGAAAAATTAACTGAACACAATTCTGCTGTTGAAGCGAACAGTTCTTCTGAAGCGGGGACCTCTTCCGGGGTAAAAATCAGCCTCTCGCTCCAAAGATGGAATGTCATCATCATCACTCGGGGAATCGTACTCCAGTATTCCATCTTCCTCTTCGTCTTGTTTCCCGCTGTTTTCTTGCTGCTCCTTGAAGTTCGACCGCCTGAATTTCTCTCTGATAGAGGTACGTCGTGAAGTGTCGCTGAGCAGCCCGATCTCCTCTTGAATGCTAGAGAGCCTGTATGCCTGGTGCTTTTCATGACCGACAAGATCAATTTGTGTTATATCCCGAATCCGATCAAAATCACCGAATACCGTGTCCCGTTCATAATAGCAATCCCGCATCTCGCTCACTTCTGGCTTAAAATTCTCGGATCTCGGCCTTTAAATAAGCCCAATCCCGGATCCCGAAAAACTTGTTGGAGACCCTCCTTAGAGTCGAGATTTGGCAAACACACTTTGGCAAAAAATGGATCCGTTTTTCTTATTAACACTTCTTTTATATACTTCTTACTAACTTCGTTTTTCGTTCCGTGTTGTAAGTTAGAGCGAGTTTTTCCCGCTCGGATATATGGCCCAAGCGCAAGGTGCGTGCGCCAAAAACCCGAGAGGAAAAACGAAATTCCATAATTTACAGTACGGACCGAGAAGACAAGGATAGTTAATTATTTATCATATTTTTGGAGAGTTCGAATAGAAGGCGAAGATTTTAATTCAAGCAAAATTTTAATTTCGTTGGCTACACAGTGAAATAAGGCCTAATTAAGATTAACCAACCAATCAACCAACTAGAGTAATGTACCACAAACCGTTAAATTAAAAGAGTCATACAATCATCTCTTACTTGTTGTTGATGAGAGAGTTGAGTGTGATCATTTTTTCTGAACCACAAAGCGTACACCACTCGTGAATATAAGCCAGTCATTAATACCAAAGGAAGGGCGGCCAAGATTAAAAACAAGGTTATGCTGTATGCTATGCCCATCCACTTTGAGGGCCAATCTTCTTTGCAGTCGCGTATGGTGTTGTCAAAATCAACACTAAGAAACGTTGGTAGAATCATAATCACTGCAAAGATCCAACAGCTTGGAATAATTACCTATGCAGGGACGAAAAACGTACACAACTGATAAATGGAAACGAAAATTAAAGAATAAAGATATCATGCTTAAGAATCGAGCCACACCATCTTCATGCCCTTTACTCCAACCCCCTCTTCGCCTCCTTCATTAGCAAAGATCATTTCGTCTGTGGTGACATCTTTGCCAGAGCTGCAGGTGGAACCGATTAAAACATCATGGCTGCATATTTTTTAAAGAACTTTATTAACATTAAAGGAAACACTGACTTTAAAAAAAGAAAGAGAGACTTATTCCTAGACCCACTAAATTTCGGCAAAAATGCGACCAATGACATTCCTCTGAGGTCACCTTAGATTCTCCGTCAAAATGCATTATATTCACCATTTTTTCCAGATATGAATAAGAGAAATTTATCCACCAGCTTTAATCGCTAAATTCTAGTCTATGTACATGCAAATCTCAGAAACATTTTTACCTTCAGGTTGTGATAGCTAAGCTTCCATCTATTTCCATAAGGATGCAATACTGCATGATAGCGTTCGATGGATATCACCATCAAGGTAAAAACCGATGAAGCAGCTCCAACCCACGAGAAGTTTCCGCCTGTCAGCAGTCGGCATAGAACTGACCCGGTCGCTCCGTCAGGATGGCTAAATGTGCGGCTTAGGATGAAGTCGGGTATGATGAAGATTGCAATCACGATGTCTGAGATAGCCAGATTCACAAGTAAAAAGTTTATAGCATTTCTGCGAAAATCATGAAAATATCGTAATTATCAAAAATTTAGTCAAGGGGTTACTGTAGCTTTATTTTTCTATTCAAACACTGATGTAGTTCCTCATTAGTCTACACAAACGGAAGTTTTAATTTAAATTCGCAAATGTATTCGTCAATTTTTTTTCCTTCGATGAAGGCTTTGTACATACTTAGAAGAAATTTTAAATCAAGTTTGAAACAAATATGAAAACTTTGCAAATAAAAAAAATTAGAAAATTCGAAGGAAAATTATGTTTGAAAATATAGTTGAAAAATATAACAATATTTGAAATATTGCACGGTATATACTAAAGGTATCAACGTATTCCAATTGACCGCCTCACGCTGGTGCCCCCTTCTTGTCCGATACTTTCCGTTTACGCGTGTCGCTGAAGGCATCGTCAAAAATTCAAGACATCTAAATGAACAATTTGTGGCCGACAATTAAGAGAGAAAGAACGCACAGTACATTATGATAGTACGAAATGAAGCGCTCTATTGACGTCTGACATCAGATAAATCAGCGATAAAAGAAAACTTGTCAAAGCGTTCAGGGCAGTAATTTGAACAGAAAATAATTAAAAATCGTTCATCCTAAGGAGCGTCTCCTGATCCAAATTTCTTGTAAAACAAAGACGACAGAATTTCCCATTCAATCATTTAAATAAACAGAGAAACCTCGCAATCGACGGGTCAAATTGAAGTATCATGATATTAACACTTTTAGTATTTCCGGGAAACCGAGCGAACCCAGACTTTTAAGTTTTTAGCAGGCAAAGTTTTTGTGCCATTTTACATACTTCACAGAAAATGCAGCCTGTGAGATGTGTTTTGTGTCCTAAGTGAAGAATTAGTCTGAACAATTAAAAAATTTCTCGCGAATTACTTACTGCATATCCCGATGTTTCATAATTATCACGCACACCAAAATGTTTCCTAACAGGACGAGAATGACGAGGGTAGAAAGAACCACTATGCATGCAGCAGCTGCTGTTTCAGAGACTGAACGCATGGACATCTCCAAAGAGTTTGACGATCCTTCCAATACAGAACACAAAAAAGTGGTATTTATATTAAGGCGGTTCTCTTCGTTTTTTTTAGCATGACTGAGCGACTGTAGAATTAATTTTTCGTTATATTTAAATGTGACAACAACCTCCGCTTTAATAATTACCTGTAAAAATGTTTTAATTTAAAACTGAGGCGAAACAGAATATTTTTCATACCTTACCAGCCTCAACCTTCTCTTTTGGGCAAATCCTGCAAAATAGATACCCCAGAACGTTCAGGATTCCCCTTAAATTTTAATAAAACTACCCAAGGTATACGGCCATTTTTCATGGCATATTTCCATATGCAAAACCCTATTTCGAAAGTATTCCTTATCATCCTATATACATTACCATAATAAATTAAAATTAAAGTCAAAGGAGTCAAACATATTTGTCATTGAAGATCATTTTGTGTTCTTACCTCTGTCTTTAGTGTCGAACACTGAGAGGGCTCATGATAAATTGCATTCGTATTCGTTCTTCCATCTTCCCTCTGTGGATTCAAGATGTAAATAATCGCCGGCCTGATCAAAAAAGTGTTCAAATTGGACAAAGCATCTCATCCTTATCAGTTCGTGTGCTTTGTTCAAATTTTATTTTAGAACCATGTAGGAGGTCTTTGCAAGAAAATATAATCAGTTTATATTCTCTTGGTTGTTGTTATTTATAATTATATAAACACCAGTAGTAAAGTATTATCGTGCGTATGGATCGTGATGTTTTGTTTATACCCTGCTAGTCATCCTTAGGCGAAGAGGTCGACTGAATACGCATCAGCATGCGAGACCTCATACATATTGCGCCGCCAGCTGCGCTTAGTTGTTTTTCAACAGCTTTGACCGGCGCTTTTTAAGAGATGCCGCGATATGATCATACCAAAAATAAGGTTTCCCGTTATGATAAAGAAGACCAGAACAGAGTGAATCTTTGGAAAAATGTAAGCAAAACCTTGTGCTTCAGAGGCTAAGAAAGTTTACCGTGTGCTAAAAATAATCGTGGTAATCGTCCAAGGGGTGGTATAGAATAAATAATCGGGTAATGACGAAGCATATACTGTGTGCCATCTTTTCATGATGCCATCTTTTCATTTAAGACATTTATTTGATAACGTCATATTATAATCAGCTGAAAGGGAGAAAGTTAGCTAGGCATTAACAATACAAACTGTTCCAGCCTACATAGGCTGTAGTTTTGTCTACGTTAGGTCAATGGGTAGCATAGCCGTGAAAGACCTGGGTCAGATGCTATCTTTCATCACGTCTTTCATCACGCCTACACAAAACCATCAACTAGGCAAATTAAACCGACTTGTTCGCTCGTTATCAATCAGGGGTTTTTCAAATCGCCTGTTTGATAAATGCAAAAGGTTTTTTTTAAAAATGCTTTTCCACTAAATAATAATAATTACTCCCGCTGTCTCACAAAACTTTACGAAAATGTCAAACAAAATGTGACAGCGTAAAATAGAGCCATCATAACATCAGTGATGGATAAGTAAGGAACTCCAGGATTCAAACGGTAAAAAACTAATTTTATACCTCCAACTTGATTACTTGCGGTTCACAATACTTATGTCATTCGGATGTCTTAACGCGCTTCATCGTCACCATCATCACCACCATCAACATCGTCGTTGTCATTACCCCAGTTATTACTTTTATCGTTATTATTAATGCATACTTTACAAAGTAAAGAGGATAGGTTCTGTTACTACACCATGTACATACAATTTCTAGAAGGCCATGAATTTATCAGATTAATTGCAGTCCATTGTTATCTTGACTCTACTTACTTCTAATTGTTTACTAAACAAGTGAAGTTCGCAAACTTAACGTTCTCGTCGATATTTTTCCAGTCAATTGTTGAAATCACTTTCCCCTGCATTAACTTTGTCTTGAAGATTTGGTAGAGTGGTGGCCACGGTCGGCAATACTATTTTACCGGTGGAATGGATAGTGGGGCCAATTCTGTTTGTAGCGACGCAATTGCATCGGAACATTGTCTTGATCTTTTGGCGGAATCTTTGGTTAATCAGGGCGTACACAAACGGGTTGACAGCAGAATTAAATAGGATCAGTATGGTAGTAATATAAAAAACAACATCACTGTATGGAGAGTTGATAAAATGCAAGAAATAAATTGTCGAGTCGGTGAGCCAACAGACTCCAAATATGAAGCTGACAGTTATTACCATCGCGGTGACCCGCTTCCGCAACTTGATCACAGCCTATGTGAGGAGATCGAAAACCTTAGTAAGGTACTTGTTATAAAGCGAGTAATAAATGTATAAATGCTTTCAACAGTAGAAAAATTTCGGGATTTGATGTACCTCGATATCCTGTAATTGATATAGAAGGGTGGTGGAAAATAGAGTTGTGGCTCAGTAATGTCTCAAATCAAAGAATCGCACCCTTTTAAGACGGGCCATGGACCACAAAGTTGTGCGTTGAATTTGCAAGAACTTCTCACCTTCTGTCCATGTGAAAGTTGATTATCATCAGTTGGTGTGAACCACAATGTGCACACGATTCTGGAATAAGCCGCAGTCATCAGTGTCATGGGAAGAAAGGTCATAGTCACCAACCACATCATGCTGTTGGCTTTGCCCATCCACTCCTGAGGCCAGTCTTCCTCGCAGTCACCTAAGGTGTTCTTGAAGTTCAAGGCCAAGAAAGTCGGTACATTCAAGATAAATGCAAGAATCCAACAGAAAGGAATAATTACCTAAAGCAGGAAAGAAGTAAAGAAAAAGGGCTTTGGCCTGTTTGTAACGACTTATGGTTCGACGATGATCGATTCCCAGCCTATTTTTTCTTAGATTGAAGTCAAAACGTATGTAAATTATAGTACATTGTGGGCATTTATCCTGGGAGTTATGTTTAATGAAAACTTTCTATAACAGGTGTTCGTATTTGATACAAACGCACTCTAATCGGCTGATTCGCTCCGTATTATCGTTTCCCTCGTGCTGATTAGTTGCTTTTTTATTACTCAGCTTGATTTTACAGAAATCAATCAACATCGATTTCTCCAGGCGGATCTGTTACCTTAAGTTTGGTATTGGTAAGCTTTCCCTTTTCATCATATGGATATATTACTGCATAATAGCGCTCAATGGCGATAAAAACCAGGGTGAAGACAGACGAAGATGCTCCAACCCATGCAAAGTTTCCTCCAGTCAGTAGCCTGCATAGAACTGTCCCAGTCACTCCATTAGGATGGGTAAACATCAGACTGAAGATGTACTCTGGTGCAAGAAATATTGCAATCATAATGTCCGAAACAGCCAGGTTCACAAGAAGGAAATTGATTGGAATTCTAGCGGATGTAAAAATGAAGGTAAACACAAGAATGTAATTAAAAGATGACAGAGCAAGAATGAACAACAAATAATGATGACAACAACAGCAACAACAACAAAATAAACAAAAATAATGATAGCAATAAATGTAGTAATAAAGATAATAATGATGATGATGATAATATTGATTAAAAGACAAAAAGAAGTGCATTGCTACATTTATTTTAAAGCAAATGGAGTAACCGCACCAATAATGCTCTTGAACACGATAGGAACGTTTAGGATATAGATTTAAAGCAAATTTTTTGTTTTTCCATTTCATCTAGTCTAAAAAAATAGTTGTTCGTATGGAGGATTGATCTTGTGAATCATAAAGAAGCAAACAAACCCACAAATAAAACATTTTAAGATAAAATTTATTTTCTCCCAAAAGATGAATGAGCTGACTCTAACTGAAAAACATAGGAAAAGTATACACCAACGGTAGTTCATCGCGGTTAATTTTATCGTGACTCTAAATCGAAAATGGATAGGGAATTTTTTATCTTTTAGACTGCTGTACTAATACTGTTGAACCGGAATCTAGGTGGTTGGCAATGATAAAACCCCGCTAAGTTACTGTTTACGCGAGATGTAGGGGATCATTAAATATTCCGATCGATAGAATGACAGAAAAGTCACAAAAGTACTGTAGGAAGAATATTTTACCTCATATCGCGATATTTCAGTATGATCGTACAAACAGTAGAGTTTCCCGTTATAACAACGATGACAAGAACGGAAAGGACTGTCGCACAAGTAATAGCTATTGTGTCAGGGACTGATCGCATGGACATATTTTATGTGGTCGATGGTCCACCTAGAAAAGAGAAAAAGAAATCACACCAAAGAAAATGCGTTAACATAAAGAAATGGATTGGGCCATTAACAACTATATTTGGTCCGTTAGGTTTCTTCGCATAAGGAAAAACTAACGAGGTAAGAAGCCGATAGCAAAGTAAGCTGTTTTTTTCAAATGCACTTTTTTGATCATAACGTATTTTCGTGGTTACTACACCATGTCTACCGCAGACGGGTAGATTCTCCGTAAATTACATGCAGATAACGGTAATAACCTTTCCTAAGATGAAAAACACGAACGTGAAAACTTCTATTTGAGAGGTGAAACAAAGCATTGGTTATTGAACATCTGTTTTCAATGGTTTTTACTCACCTGTCTTTACAGACTTGCGCTCTGTTTCAATTCCAAAGCAGTTAAAGATGTGCCAAGGTTATTTCGATCTACATTAGCGTGTGAAAACCATGATATCATACAAAAACTGACAGGCTAAGACTTTAGGAAACTCTCGTATGCATGTCAAGCCGGAAAACATCGAGGTAAGTATAATATTCTTTTGAATTGATGTTAAATTCAGCTCATCAGTTTGTGCTATTGTAATTAAGACAAACAGACTTTTCAGCCAATAAAAATCAAGTGATTGCACCTGCCTTAGAGCCCTTTGTTTAATTTGTTATGCCTAAAAAGTTTTCACAAGCTTCTTAGTTTTAGTGGTGTGCTATAATTAGGCATAGTTCTAAACTACGGAGCGTATAATAATTCTTTAAAATATTTTTTCTGTGCTCAGCATTACGACGCTGAAATGGAAATAGTTTATTCAATTTATTATTTATTTCTATTCTATGATTGGTTAACCTTGAAAATGCAAATCCTCTGTAACTCAAGTTGTCCTAACAAAGGCCCAGGTTTGAGGATAAAACTTAAATTTGTCTTACCCCTTGTAGCTGGGAATTAGTCCGCACTAAAGCAGTGAGTGGTAATGCCACAGAGGGCTTGGGACGGAAGTAGGTTAGCCATTACTTAGCGCACACAAAATTGTAAAGCCCACGCTAACTCGACAGCTAAACAGGCTTAAATTGTTCAAATCTTACTAATCAGAATCGTCTGAACAATAACTGGGTGACGCTTTTCTGCTGAATAATCAGAATTGCTTGTGCAATCTTACCGCAAAATGATATGGCCACTTCGGCAATCCCCAAGCAAGTGTTGTAGGCTTATATGGAAGGATTTCCCAATGTTTCTTTTTTTTAATTCGTGAGAAGAATTTTGAAATAATGATACGTGATGTCTGGGATGAAAATTTCGAGTGTCAAGTTATCAGCAAGAGAGGATTCTCTCTTGTTATTAGTCAAGCGATATATTATTTTGCCGATTACACTATTAGGAAAGACGAACGAACGATTGAGCTGGCGAATAATTTCTTTCTCTTTTCTAGATCTGTTACTCGTATAACGTGTGCTGCCAAAAGATCGATGTAAACCATGCGTTGAATTTAATTTCAGTTTTTTATTCTTGGTTTTTGGGTTTTCTCCGGGATTAAAAACTTGCCAGTGTTCCTAGTTTTGGACATTGACGATGGAATGGCGCCCGGGTAAGAATGTGAACAAAAAAATGGATTCCTCAGGCTTACAATGTGGTGTGGTTAATAGTCGTGACAATTATTCCGTTGACCGTGCTGGTTGTGTCGTATACTAGAGTAGTGTACAGGCTTTGATTCAAATTTACGCCTGACAACAGCGAGAATTCGAATCAAAACCAGATCCCGCAAGACTCATATTAAGTCGTTGAGGCTTCCTTTGCGAGATAATAGTTTGTTGTATTTTGAGTACAAACTTAACAGATTGAGATGTTATCAATCTTTCATCTTTCTCTGAGAAAAGGGAGTGCAGAAGGTGCTGAAGCAAGCCACCTTGTCTGTCAGCGGTATCTTTGCGATGTGTTGGATTACAGGTCCCATCCAGTCTACATCGTATCGTGAGCCACTTCAGCGCCGAGAGCTGCTTAACTCTGCCGTCAACCCGTTTGTATATGGTCTAGTGAACCAGAGATTCAAAGAGAAGATCAAAATAATGTAAGGAGCAGATTCGATACCTGATTGGCTGTACAAGACTAAAGCTGTCAAAAATGTCAAACCATCAAAGTTCACATTCTGCAAAAGTTTAAAAACTTGAATATTTCGGCAGGTCGAATTTAACACTTCTGCCTGAAGTTTTTTAGTCTCTAATACAGAATCTGAAACTGAAATGTTCAGTGAGTTCAACACGCAAGTTTTTCACACGACAAGTAGAAAACAAACAGTTCAAGGCGAGTATTTTATGAATAAACGACAGCCGAATTCACCGGAACATGAAGATCGCTCGGGATAACAGCGCCGTGACACTCGGCTGCAGTGACTGATGTGGCCTTCCATTCCACGCATCGGAAAGGACATCAGAGCAAGCTCTTATTTTTTCACTCGAAGGGCGGCCGCAGTAGTTCCTGAGGCTTGCTTCACTGCGATGACCGAAGATCGCCATGATGAGCAAACCGCGATGGACCTCAGCATGATCGCAGTCGTTCTGACACCGGCATGATTAGTATGAATTTTAACAGTTATGCCAGTTTGGTTATATTTTTCATCATTCCTGTTTTGTTTTTGATCACGAAACTTTACTTACTATACGAGTGTTAGCTGTGTTTGATTTTTATTACCGCACATAAGCTTGCCATCCAACTAAGCGTGAAAACCTCTAAAACACTGACTGTACATCTCGTTTTCTCCTTGAGGATTTTCGTCTCTGCTCACGTTATAATAACGTAATTTACGGCGCTTGGCCTTTTAAAAACCTTTGTTTGGTTCTTCTGTTGCTACTTGCCGGCTCGCCTGTTCCGAAATTTCACTTCCAATTAACGAAAAAAAGCTAGAGAAAAGTTCCGGAAAAGGTTAAACATAGTGCAATTTGGCAGATGGCGTGACAGCTTTAGCTCAGCTCTCTGCTCTATACTCTCATGGAGCGCGCTCTTTCAACCAATGACAGCACGCGTTATATCCGAACTTTATTATAACGTCCTATAAACATTACCACAATGTCAAAGGAGTAAAACATATTGGTCGCGGAAGATAATTATGTGTTCTTATCTCTGTTTTTAGTGTCGAAAACTGAGAGGGCTCATGATAAATTGCTTTCGTATTCGTTCCTCTAACTTCCTTCTATAGATTCTAAATATAAATGATCGCCGGCCTGATCAAAGAAGTGGTTAAATTGGACAAAGCATCTCATGCTTATCAGTTCGTGCGCTTTGTTCAACTTTTATTTTAGAATCATGTAGGAGGTCTTTGCAAGAAAATATAGTCAGTTTATATTCTCTTGGTTGTTATTATTCATAATTATATAAACACCAGTAGTAAAGTATTATCGTGCGCAACACGATGCGGTGACTTCCATTGTGGATCGTGATGTTTTGTTTATACCCTGCTAGACATCCTTAGGCGAAGAGGTCGACTGAATACGCATCAGCATGCGAGACCTCACATATTGCGCCGCCAGCTGCGCTTAGTTGTTTTTCAACAGCTTTGACCGGCACTTTTTAAGAGATGTGTTCTAGCAAGAACAAGAAAGTCGCATTTGTGGCCGTTTAATGATGTTCTTCATATTGTGATATGATCATGCTAACAGTAAGGTTTCTCGTCATGATAAAGAAGAAAAGAACAGAGTGAATCTTTGGAAAAATGCTAGCAAACCTTGTGCTTCACAAGGCTTATCATACGGACGTATCTGACAGGGTGGATCCCCCCAAAAGCGTCGAAGAAGGTTTACAGTGTGCCGAAAATTACCGTGGTATTCCAAGGGGTGGTATAGAATAAATAATAGAGGAATAACGAAGCATATACCGTCATCTTTTCTTGATGCCATCTTTTCATTTAAGAGCCAGCATTTATTTGATAACGTCATATTACAATTAGCTGAAAGGGACAAAGTTCACTAGGTATAGGCATTACAAACTGTTCCAGCTTACATAGGCTGTAATTTTGTCTAAGTTAGATCAATAGGTGGCATAGCCGTGAAAGGCATGGGTCGGATGATTTCTCTGATCACGTCTTTCATCACGTCTTTCTTCATGTCTTTCATCGCGCCTACAAAAAACCATCAACTAGGCAAAATAAACCAATCAGGGGTTTTTCGAATCGTCTGTTTGATAAATGCGGTGTGTTCTTCATTAAACTAAGACTGAAAAGCGAAAGGTTTTTTTAAAATGCTTTTCCGCTAAATAATAATAATTACTCCCGCAGTCTCACAAAACTTTACCAAAATGTCAAACAAAACTGTGACAGCGTAAAATAGAGCCATCAAAAACATCAGTAATGGAAAAGTAAGAAACTCTAGGATTCAAACGATAAAAATCTACTCTTATACCTCCAACTTGATTACTTGCGGTTCACAATACTTATGTCATTCGGATGTCTTAACGCGCTTCATCGTCACCATCATCATCACCATCAGCATCGCCGTTGTCATTAACCCAGTTATTACTTTTATCGTTATTATTAATGCATACTTTACAAAGTAAAGAGGATAAGTTCTGTTACTACACCCTGTACATACAATTTCTAGAAGGCCATGAATTTATCAGATTAATTGCAGTCCATTGTTAATTTCTTTCACTTAACTCTACTTCATTTATTCTCCAATTGTCTACGAAACAGGTGAAGTTCGGAATTTAACGTTTCCGTTGAGGTTTTTCCCGTCAATTGTTGACATCACTTTCCCCTTCATTAACTTCGTCCTGAAGATTTGGTAGAGTGGGAGCCACGGTTGGCAATACTATGTTACCGATGGACTGAATAATGGGGCCAATCCTGTTTGTAGCGACGCAATTGCATCGGAACATTGTCTTGATCTTTTGGCGGAATCTTTGGTTAACCAGGGCGTACACAAACGGGTTGACAGAGGAATTGAATAGGATCAGTATGGTAGTTATAGCAAAAACGACATCACTGTAAGGAGAGTTGATAAAATGCAAGAAATAAA